ATTTTTTGGTCACATTTCAACAAATTCTTGAAAAAAAACATATAGAATTTCTACCCTTAAATATATAATACAATTAGTTAAAACCTTAAGTCTTTAACTAATTGTTTTAAGGGTAAATTGTATATGAAATGAAAATGTCTCCCTGCGTTATATAAAACCCCATACAAGTGTTTGTATGCGAGAAATAATTTATAGTTGTTTAGAGATTTTATTAATTGGAAAAACTGTTACAGATTTTTATTAATATGCTTAGAAAGGAAATAAGTATTGGAAGGGGAAGGGGGAAAAGAAAGAAAAAAAAAAACAACTAAACAAGAACATAATGAAAATGACCACTAAAGTAATGAGACAGAAAAAGTAGTATAAACAAAAGAACCCAAAAATAACTCAGACAAAGTTTTATTTTTCTAAGTATTTGCTAATGTTTGTTTTAGTTATAAGACGTGATCATAGATATTAACATATACATACACTTACATACTTGCATATTTATATATTGTATATTGTTGTTGTTTTTCTCTTTGTGGTGGGGGAGGAGGTTTGTTTGTTGTGCCGGAACCACAAAACTTTGATTACTTTTTAGATTAGGACTTTCAACATACTGCTACTTACTAAAGTTATTGCCTCAGCTACTGTTACTTGGTTTGAGAGAAAATTTATGCTCTTATGTGAACAATTTTATTGCGAAACATATTAGGGAATGTTGCCTTACGATTAGATTTAAAGGGTAGTCACATATTGGTTAAGAAATTTTTATTTTAAACAATAATTTGGTATCTCTCTAACTATTAAAGATATAGTAACGAAATTTTGGTTAAAGCGGAAAAAAGTGTTAATTTTTAACTAATTATGTGATAATCGCGTTCTTCCACGAATATTCATTATCCGATTGGATTACAACCAGTCCCCAGTTAATTTTAAATATACGCATTAAATATTTTTCGGATCATATAAAATTTGTGTAGTGTCCCGAAGAACTTTTTATAAGAAAACCAGAAGGTATTTTTAAAAAACTTTATGATCCTGCGTAGCCTCCCACATCTAAAAATCCCCAAAAAATATTGGCAAAATTAAAAACTAAAATTTAAACCTTTTGTAAATTTTTTCAAGAAGTAGTTATATTTAAATTTCGGCTCATTCAGATCTTAAGTGGACTTTTGGCGAATTAAAAATAAAATATGTGATACTCAATGTGACCAACTTTGAGACGCTGCCCATTAGTCCCTATTTCGACTGTGATCATCTACAACTGTTCAGCTCAAACATTTCGTTACTATATCTCTAATAGTTCCAAAGATATCCAACTATTTCCAAAAATAAAATTTTCTAAACCACTGTCAATCGACTAGTCCATAGAATATTTTATAGACCAGTCCAATGACTAGTGCTACTCTAGAAATTTAAAATTTATAGCAAATTAAAATTTTATAATTCGAAAAACGATTAGAAACTTCTTCAAATTTCGCTTCAAACAAGTTTTTTAACTTCGCCAACCTTCCCCATTTAAATGTGCATTGTTAGCAACATGTTGCGTGTAAAATATGCATAAATTGTTGTTTTTGTTTCTGCTGTTGTTGTATAAGAAGTAATAATAACAATACTTAACATGTTCACATTTACACCAAAAAAACAAAAGCAAAAAAGTAAAAGTTGGAAAAATGAACAACTTTTCTCTTTAAGTATTAGAATATTAACACAATTTTTGCTGTTACTTGCCACTTTGGAAAATTGCGAAAAGCAGCTAGATGGCGAGGGAGGAGTGAGGTTGGTGTGTAAGCAAATGGTGTTGACATTTGCCAACAATTAACAACATGAAACACACAAATGTAATGAATTGAAAGTAATAACAACAATAATACTTTTGCAAAGCAAACAAATACTGGAAGAAACAAAAAAAAAGACTCATAATATAATCTATGCGGATTATATAAATGAATGAAAGAAAGACTTGCTGAAAAATTTAACACATAAAACAAAAAACTTTGAACATTTAGTAGATACTTTATACTCTATAAAAACGGATTTCTGACATTTTATCCCTCTGTGTGTGTGTATATAATGATTATTCCTTTACAAAGGACATTTGTTTAATACACACCCATATACTACATACGACTGCTTACTGGCACACACATTTAACTACTTCTATAGTAATGCGTTTGAAATATTATTTTGAACATCTGTGTCTATAAGTCTGTTAGAGTATTCATGTTTCAAAATTGTTCCTTTTTTCTCAACTGGTTTTATGTATTAGCATCATTTGTTGGTTAAATTGTTATTTGTATTTCTCTCATTTTCTCTCCAGCTTATCCTAACATCTTGTGCCAGTATTTCTTCTGGATAGTTGTTTCTCCTCCCACAGCTTGCGTGTCTTTTAGTATATGGTTTTTGTGGTATAAAAGCATAAAATGTTTGAATTTTGGGGGATTTTTTGTAAAATGGCCATATTATCACTTAAATGAATTTATATTTTTTATAATCATGATATTAATCTATCAACATTTAGATTTTATGGTAGTGGTTTCTTTTAAAAAAATGTAAAAGGAAAAGATTTTAGTTTTAAAAGTTTGTGTGGCAATAAAGAAAGTTATAAAAGAAATTCTAAAGTCTTTTGAAAGATAATTGTTTGGTTTTTAAGGATAAACGATGATGAATGAATATACTATATATAAGATGAATGATTATTTAAATTTTATTGGATTTCCCTTTTTTAAATTAAGGGATGTTAATGACATGATAGAACTTTGAAATATTGCGACTTTAGTGGAAAGTAATTAACTGATAGATTTTGAAATTGAAATGCTTTCCAAACATGCTCTAGGTTTGTATTTAAGCTTCCAACTTAATCGTAACAATTTGTCTTTGAAAGAAAAAGTATCTGGTATGATCAGTTGTATGTTGAGAAATTCATTGACATACATATCAGTGCACAAAGCGACCCAAACAAATTGATGTACTTTCAATAATTTCCGGTATGATTTGAGATAAAAATAGGATTGTTTTACAAATGTAAAGATTGAATTAATCTCAAAATGGTCTTGTTTTGAGTTCGAATCGTACTTGATTTCAGAACATTTCAGCAACAAATTTTAAATTACTAATTAATCCGGTAGGTTAGTAATTAGTGATCTAGTCTGGTACACCGGAGGTGGTGTGTTCGATTCCCACCTGAGTCACTGGTTAGGGAGTGCACAACAGGCCCGATAGAGGCCTAGTTGTGTTTCTTCTGATTTGATGTATATACATCCTCATTTAAAACTAACTAACTAACTAACTAACTAACTACTACTAACTAACTACTAACTAACTAACTAACTAACTAACTAACTAACTACTAACTAACTAACTAACTAACTAACTAACTAACTAACTAACTAACTAACTAACTAACTAACTAACTAACCTAACTAACTAACTAACTACTAACTAACTACTAACTAACTACTAACTAACTAACTAACTAACTAACTACTAACTAACTAACTAACTAACTAACTACTACTAACTACTAACTAACTAACTACTACTAACTAACTAACTACTAACTAACTAACTAACTACTACTAACTAACTAACTAACTATTAACTAACTAACTAACTAAATAACTACTAACTACTAACTAACTAACTAACTAACTAACTACTAACTAACTAACTAACTAACTACTAACTAACTAACTAACTAACTAACTAACTACTAACTAACTACTACTAACTAACTAACTACTACTAACTAACTACTAACTACTACTAACTACTAACTAACTAACTAACTAACTAACTAACTAACTAACTACTAACTACTAACTACTAACTAACTAACTACTAACTAACTAACTACTAACTAACTAACTACTAACTAACTAACTAACTAACTACTAACTAACTACTAACTAACTAACTAACTAACTAACTAACTAACTAACTAACTAACTAACTAACTAACTAACTAACTAACTAACTAACTAACTAACTAACTAACTAACTAACTAACTAACTAACTTATACATACACAATTGCATTAAAAAACTCCCCAGCAGTTCGATCGGACAGTCCCGAACTCCCTATTTAACCTACTAGTCCCGAACTCCCTATTTAACCTACCTAGGGTTACACCTAGCCACCAACTGTCCAGGTGACTAGCTATTTTAATACGTGCTTTTCCTACGAGGAAGTCAATCGTCACCACATAGGTTACGAAGAGGCACACAAGTGCTTGTCCCCTCTCTCGCTTACAAAGGGGACTCTAAAGTGACGATTATCTTCACAAAGAGTACATCCGTGACGAAAGACGAATTTGATCCAACCAGGTGGTTAGATGTTAGTGGAAATCACTGTCTTTTTCGGATGCATTGACTTTCTGTCGAACTGCAGGGTCAAGCTATTCAAAGCTCAACTACTTATTCATAACTAAATAAGACATATGTATATGTTAGGAAGTGAATGAACGTATTTTTTAATTAAATAAGAAATGAGATTGAAGTACAAAATTTTATAACTATTTTAAAGTTGGGTCTAATCAAATCTTTTGTTAAATTATTTATTAAAATTCATGTCGTATGCAGCTAGAACATTTAATTTTTGTAATTTATACAAAATAAAATCCACCAAAGTTGTCTGCCAAATGTTTGGCTATACAAACAACAAACAGTCTTTTACCACAAAATACTCCATCTGCCATTAAAAGCGCTTAAATTGGCATTTTTTTATTTCTCTAAACCAAAAACCAAATCAAACCGTTTTAACTAACTAATTCAAATAAAGGTCTTGGCAATTACGTTGTATACTTTTTTTGGTAGTTGGCCAACAAACCAACGAAACATAACGGCCTACAACCCTCCAACTAACCAACCCTTAAAGGTCTCCAAAAAGGCACAAAACCACTTAAATGCAAAACATTTAATGAAATAAAATACGACAGCAATTATTAAAACTAATTTGCATAAACAAAACAAAAACAGAAATGGTGAAAAAGGGATATAAACTATTAACTAACTCACCTGGTTGACAACCGCACTCTTGGAAATTACCGCCAGCACCTGCACTGCCTAAACGTTCATGCGAACCACTCGAACCATTGCCGCCGCCACCTAGACCCGTCTGACGACGATGCTGTTGTCGACGACTCAATTGTAATTGGGAAACATCACGTCTAAGACGATGTAATTCACCCACTTGCCGTGTTAATAAACGAACAGCTTGTGTAACATCTTTGGCATCTCTCAAATGTAAAATATTTAAATTACCTCCAGCACTCAGTGCTCGAGAGGTATAATCCATATCAGTAGTATCCATTTCATCATCATCGTCATCCACCTCATCGTCCTCTTCTTCATTATTATTGTTGTTGTTGTTGCTGTAGCTTCTGCTGTATGTGTCTGCCTGTCGTAGTTGCTCTTGAGTTTGTGTCAGTGTATGGCTAACATGTTGCAATTGTTGTTGTTGCATTTGTAATTGCATCTCCAGATCCATTAGACGTTCATCGAATTCCCTTAAATGTCGTAATGTGCGCTCCGTATGCGTTTGTCGTACATTACAGTACAAGGAGAAGCCCAAGGATGTGACGCACATGATGTAGAAAAATAAATTTAATAATGATATTGAAGTTTTTGTTGTTGCTGATTTGTTGGATGAGGATGTAGAGGGACATGTTGCTGATGTAAAGAATGAAGAGCTGGTTAAAGATTTTATATGGAATGAAGGAGGTTGTTTTGTTGTGGATGTTGTCGCTATTGTTGAGGAAGATTTGCTGTTTATAACTACAGGACATTTTTTATATGTTTCAGCAGTAAGCTGCTGTTGATGATGTTGTTGCTGCTGAAGGTTTTCTGTGTTTTTATTTGAGGGACTTTTATTTGTATGATTAAGTCCATCAAGGCGACTAGTTTGTTGCTGTTGTTGTGTTGCTGCTACTGAAAGTAGAGCTGCTGTTCCAGCTTTTGTTGTTTGCTGTGTAGTTGACATTTGTAGCTGTTTGTTATTCGTTGTTGTTGTAGGTGTTGGCAACATTTTTGTGGAATCTTTCAAGGACTTTTCATTGTTAAAATTTTCTTGATATGTTTGTAATTTGTTACTATTGCTACAACTACTACTGTGATACTGTTCTTGTTGTTGTTGTTGCTGATGATGTGCTTTTACTGTTGTTGCTGCTGGGGCTGTTGGTTTGTGAGATGAGTCCTGTGCCAGCATATTGTTTGCTAAAGTCCTTGCGGTTGATGAGGGTGTCTCAGCACCCTTGTCTATTCTTCTCATTACTCTTTGTTGTCACTTGTCTCAAAATCACCAAAAAATGGTTGCAGTTCCTCTTAACCACACTTTCCTCTATTTGCAACTATTATTTTTGTTCTTTTATTTTTTCTATTTCAATGATTTTGAGTTGTAGTTTTTTGTGTGAGTTTTTTTTCTTCTAAGCTGCTGCTGTTATGAGGTAATTGTTTTTTATCCTGTTGTGACAATATAATGTCCTTTTTGTTGTCAAATCATGTAAAAGTGAACTAAATGTAAACTATCTCCAACTCTAGACTCCTTAAGGGCATCACATAAAAGATGAACGTTGAACAACACTACGAAAACTCAGTAAACAAACCCAACAAAAGAAAAACTAATAGAATATAATGGAACACTATAAAGCAGATTCCTGTTTTGGTAATGAAGTTGACAGGAAAGTCCTTTTTTGCAGTTGTTGTTCTTTTTTTAAACAAAAAATAATTTCTAACAAATATTTTCCTTTATATTTAACAAAAACATTTTATCATGGTTTCGCTTTTATTTCAGCACAATTTCTTAAATAAATAAGACAGGAAATATTAAACAAACACTGTCGCAAAAGGAATGGCGTAAATTCTGAGTAACCCAAAAGAAAAAAAATGACAAAAAGAATCCTTACGCAAAGTCCTTGTGCAACTGCTGGTGGGAATTTATTTTGTTATACTTTTACTTATTTAAAATATTTTTTTATACTTTAATCTCAGTTGTTTTTTGTAGCACCATGTATGTGTTATTTGTCACCATGTATTTGTCTGTTTTTTGTAATTTTTTTTAACTCTTGTTATGTTACTTTTTTATTACAATTGTTGTCATCTTGTTGGTATTTATTTTATTTTTTTAACATGTTTTTTTTTTTGTTTGTTGTTCCTTTCCTGTTGCCTTTTGTTTCTGTTTAATTTAAGACCTGTTCAAGTGTCATCCTTTTGTATTTACTTTTTTTTGCTCCGGTTACCAAGAAACGAATTTAATCTGCAGGAATAAAAAAAGAGAATGAAAACATTTTTTAGAACATTATAATCACAAAAAAATTTTAAATTACAAGCAAAAGTCTGAAGATTTTCTTTTGCTTGATTAAACTTTAAGATATGAGCCAGTTTTAAGGTTTTAAGTTATTGCAAAAGAAAGTTTAGAATTTCAAAAAATGCTTTAAAAAAGTTGTTGACATTTAACAATTCCCATCAATCTTTAAGCTTATATGTGCACAAAATAATAACAAAATTCTTAAAGTTAACTCAAGTGATATTTGATTTTAGCTTTAAGTGATTTAATTCTTGGAATATGGTCTTTTTTCAGTTTCCATAAAGATCACTCCTACCTTTTTTAATATTCAGCTCTTTCATTGAATTTATGACAAAGTCATATATAGTATGAACAGTAATCTCAAACATTTAAAGGGAAAGCTTTTCATTGAAAACAATGTTTATACATTTTTCAGGATTTTTCCAATGTAAGATTTCCACAACTTCATTGTCCACTATAATTCGTTGCAAACCTAAATTCACTAAATCAGAAGATTATTTTTTTAAGATAGTCAGCTCTGTCATTGTGTTTATGACAAAGTAAAACATAGTATGAACAGTAATCTCAGACATTTAAAGAGAAAGCTTTCTAGTTCAGTTCTAGTTCAGTTCTAGTTCAGTTCTAGTTCAGTTCTAGTTCAGTTCTAGTTCAGTTCTAGTTCAGTTCTAGTTCAGTTCTAGTTCAGTTCTAGTTCAGTTCTAGTTCAGTTCTAGTTCAGTTCTAGTTCAGTTCTAGTTCAGTTCTAGTTCAGTTCTAGTTCAGTTCTAGTTCAGTTCTAGTTCAGTTCTAGTTCAGTTCTAGTTCAGTTCTAGTTCAGTTCTAGTTCAGTTCTAGTTCAGTTCTAGTTCAGTTCTAGTTCAGTTCTAGTTCAGTTCTAGTTCAGTTCTAGTTCAGTTCTAGTTCAGTTCTAGTTCAGTTCTAGTTCAGTTCTAGTTCAGTTCTAGTTCAGTTCTAGTTCAGTTCTAGTTCAGTTCTAGTTCAGTTCTAGTTCAGTTCTAGTTCAGTTCTAGTTCAGTTCTAGTTCAGTTCTAGTTCAGTTCAGTTCAGTTCTAGTTCAGTTCTAGTTCAGTTCTAGTTCAGTTCTAGTTCAGTTCTAGTTCAGTTCTAGTTCAGTTCTAGTTCAGTTCTAGTTCAGTTCTAGTTCAGTTCTAGTTCAGTTCTAGTTCAGTTCTAGTTCAGTTCTAGTTCAGTTCTAGTTCAGTTCTAGTTCAGTTCTAGTTCAGTTCTAGTTCAGTTCTAGTTCAGTTCTAGTTCAGTTCTAGTTCAGTTCTAGTTCAGTTCTAGTTCAGTTCTAGTTCAGTTCTAGTTCAGTTCTAGTTCAGTTCTAGTTCAGTTCTAGTTCAGTTCTAGTTCAGTTCTAGTTCAGTTCTAGTTCAGTTCTAGTTCAGTTCTAGTTCAGTTCTAGTTCAGTTCTAGTTCAGTTCTAGTTCAGTTCTAGTTCAGTTCTAGTTCAGTTCTAGTTCAGTTCTAGTTCAGTTCTAGTTCAGTTCTAGTTCAGTTCTAGTTCAGTTCTAGTTCAGTTCTAGTTCAGTTCAGTTCTAGTTCAGTTCTAGTTCAGTTCTAGTTCAGTTCTAGTTCAGTTCTAGTTCAGTTCTAGTTCAGTTCTAGTTCAGTTCTAGTTCAGTTCTAGTTCAGTTCTAGTTCAGTTCTAGTTCAGTTCTAGTTCAGTTCTAGTTCAGTTCTAGTTCAGTTCTAGTTCAGTTCTAGTTCAGTTCTAGTTCAGTTCTAGTTCAGTTCTAGTTCAGTTCTAGTTCAGTTCTAGTTCAGTTCTAGTTCAGTTCTAGTTCAGTTCTAGTTCAGTTCTAGTTCAGTTCTAGTTCAGTTCTAGTTCAGTTCTAGTTCAGTTCTAGTTCAGTTCTAGTTCAGTTCTAGTTCAGTTCTAGTTCAGTTCTAGTTCAGTTCTAGTTCAGTTCTAGTTCAGTTCTAGTTCAGTTCTAGTTCAGTTCTAGTTCAGTTCTAGTTCAGTTCTAGTTCAGTTCTAGTTCAGTTCTAGTTCAGTTCTAGTTCAGTTCTAGTTCAGTTATAGTTCTGTTCGATTCTCAAAATAAAAGGGAGTATTTGGACATATTTGTCAAAAATCTGGGTCTTATCACAAAAAGAGCTGTATATCCACATTTGACACCGTATTATGCCATTTGAATAATGGAGTTGTCGTCAACATGTCCATAAAGTTACTTTGATGATTTCCCTTAATATTTGTATCTTTTAGAGTTTTACTTTGACTGCCTGTATCTCAAACGCGCTAATCAGAAAAGGCATCACAAGTTCTTGAGAAAATTGAGGCTCAATCCTTGTTATTATAGCCCTTTTAAAATTTACCTTCACAATTCCTCTTTGCAACCTCTCAAAGTCCATAATTAGCATTATAAAATCACAGAATTAAGTTTCAAAATACTGATTCCTCCCCTACTTTTAATGTTTCCAGTGGCCCCTTGGTTTGGGCAGCTCTGTTAGATAAAAAAAAAATTTTCGCTCCATTTCTTTATCAATCCCTGCTTTGATTATTCCCCATAGATAATAATATTTCTTGTTTGGTTCTCCACTACTACAAGGATATCTAACTGTGTATGTATACACTTACTAACTCTCTTACAAACTGAGTACATATGTAACTATGTATGTTCTTGAATATATCAAGGGAAAATTACTTAATATTATATTTTTTTTTACATCTACTCCTTTGTAGGAATTTCAATTTCACCAAAAACTACACACAAACTTACAAGCAAACACATACTAAACTTCTAATTCTAGACAACCCTTGCATTTGTTATTTGCCAAAAGCAATAACCTTTTCATGTAGTATTTTATTTTCTACTTTTTTTGTACTTTGCTCGGTTCTTTGTATTTATTCTTGGCAATTTCCGGAATTTTAGCACGCACTATGGTTAGTTTTTTCATTTCCTTAAATTTACAAAACTAACAAATTGTTTGCAGCACCAAAGCAGCACGAATAGTAAAAAAACTGAAAGTGTATATAAACTTGAAAATAAAAGGCAGATGTAAAACTAAAAAGTAAAAAAAAAGCTTAGACATACATTCACTCATTCACTTCCACATTTCAAATAGTTTTCTGAGGCGGAGGTGTTGTTTAATAAACTTAAAGAGAAATGAAATAAAAAAAAAAACAACTTAAAAAAAGTAGGAATTACAATTAACTAACATTTTACACCCACACTTTCCTCTGGCAGACATTTAAAGTTCCCCTAAAGTCAGCTCATGTTCATACACACATTCTCGCACTCTTTTACATGTTCATGTGAAAACTAGTACTTTAGAAGGAAGGTATCCCTAAGGTAATAATTAGTTTTTAATAGAGTTGCTACAGAAGTAGTATGTATGTGTGCAACTACATATAGGGGAAGTGAATTCGTTGTTTGAAATATTAATTTCTTTAAGGCATATTTTTGGTGTTTGATCTTAAATGTAAATAATGAACTGGGAGAGTATTTATTTGGAACAATAATTGGTATCCCCTTAAGAAACGAATAACATTTTACGAAAATTTTAAAAGAAATTATTTGCTAATAGTCCTAGACATTATAGATTCAAGGATTTTAATATTGAATCTAATTTAAAGTAGTCTAAATATCCACACGTCTAGTTTACATTAGAGTTAGAGTCGCTAACTATTTTCGCATCCCTATATTCAACTAATCCAGATATACTTAGCAAAAATTTTCAGTGAAAAGTATGATTTGAAAAGCAAAAAAAAAGTTAATTCGCTGATTTACCACGCTCTCTTACAAATAACTACTTAAATAAGTACTTACAAGTATCGAGTACTTACACAAGAAAACTATTTTCTTTCTGTTTGTGTAATAAAAACAGATGCTAATGATCGATCAAATAAAATATGCAAATAAATAAACTACTTATGTATCTGAATATACGTAAGTCATTACAATAGTACTTAAAAGTAATGCAGACGGTATATAGTAGTCATTGAAAAGTAAGTGTTTGTTTGAGTTGAAGTCATTATCGAATTTGTTACAGCACAATTCATTCAGACAGCCATTTCAGAAACTGAATGTTTGACAAGCATTACCGAAACAACTATTCTGTCTGTGGAAAAGTTTGGTGGCTATAGACAAGCTCTATTAGACAGCAGTTGCAGTTATTAAAGCGGTCAATGGAAATATCTTAGAGTATTTTTAGGGGTTAACCTAATGAGACCTTCGAATATGTTCTTCTGCACTAGTTGTTGAAATATATATTACGGGGAGGTTTGAAATTTGAAATCCACGTCAAGAAATTTCTATGTTACTAAATCCTTATTGATTTATTAGTTTAACTACTTGTTACTAATCAATTTTGCTTTAATTTCAATAAATTTCGGATTTTCGTCTTTAGTTGGAGATTGAATAAAATGTTAAAACAATTCCTATTAACATATTTCACAATTTATAAATAACTACCTATTTTAAAATGGAAATAATTTGCAAAATTATGGCCAATAGTCACAATATACATTATAACTGCTTTAATTTTCATTATATAAGATTTCTCTCCCTAACATTCCTTTTGAAAATATCCTGATAATGTACATACAACAAGTACTTTTCTTAACTTTCTATACTATTATGTAGAAGTGTTAGTTAAAAAGTCTATGTCTAAATATGTGTTGGTATTTCACACACATTCACCTATTCTAGATATTCTTAAGTTGAGTCCTTTTGGAGTATTGTTGTGTTTTGTTTAAAAAATTCTTATCTTTGTGTTTTTTTTTTTGTTTATGTGTATGTGTTAAATAAATAAAATTCTATACAATTTTCTTACTAAGATTTTTTGCCCGATAGATATGAGATTTTAGAAATTGTTTATATAAAAAAATTTAAGAGAGAAGTGAAGAATTTTCTTTAGTTTACAGCGGTACATTTTGGAAACCAATATTTAGCAAATCTAGGAAGTCTATGTTAGTCCACTTAAAACCAACTTTACTGGTATGA